CTGGTGAGGTTACAGAAGTTCCCACTCATGCCACAACAGCAAGAATCAACAATTCTGCAAGTTAAAGTAATTACCCCTTTGGATTCATAAAAACAACATATTAAAGGATGTCACAAAGTGAAAAAATACAGTCATCAGAGCAAAACAAACAGCAGGCTGATTGTCCTAACAAGAGGGTAGATTGTCCTTCTGGAGTTCAGTCCCAGGAAACAGCTGCCTCAGGAAAAACAAGTCCAAACAAGGATTTTTATCAATTCCTTACAACTAGTCCAATGCAAATTCAAAGAAAATTGAGGTTTAGATTTCCCATGACTGTAGTAAGAACTTAGAACAAAGAGAACCTTTAACCAAACACCCCGTATGTAGGTTGAGCAAGAAATGAGTAGTGAGACTCAGCCAGTGTATCTGACCATGAGGGACACTTCTGCTGCTGAGCTCTGAGCATCTCCCACAGGATGATCTGGAATTGCTCCTGCACCATCATTTCTATCATCTGCTCCTTTGTGTGAATACCAAGTCTCAGCCACTGCCTAGCAAGCGCTACCAGATGCCTGAAGACTTCCCTGGGCCTGGATGGACCCTCACAGCGGAGCTTTCTGAACATCTGCCTGAAGATGAGAGGGTTGACAGGATTCCTGCCTGGCCCATCTCAACATTCTTGACACAGACTTTGTCAATGCTCTTTGGCAGGTGCCCAGAAGGCGCTTGTGGAACCTGGGCCTGGGGAGCCGCTGTCAGGACATCTCCTGGCTCCTTGGCCACCATCTCATTTGGAGGTGAAAGTACTTGATCATTCTGGACTTCTATATCTTTCTGTGCCTTTGGGTTTCCTTCAGTCTGCATTCTGGCTCTCTGGAAAAGGATGGCGCAGACTCCTGCACATTTGCCACTTCACGGGGAGGTCACCACAAGAGCAGACACCTCACAAGCGACTCTGAGAAAAAGCTCAACCTATTTTTGACATCTGGAGAGAAGAACCAACGTTTCCTTTCAGACTCCCATTTGGTTCCAAGTGAGAACAGGCAGCAATGAGCCATCAGTTTTCAGCAATCAAAATATGGATACGTATTTTACTGAACAATTATAAAAAATGAGCAAATATTGAGAAAAAGGGTCAATATGTGGGTACAAAAACATCCTCCATAGAAAATGAGACAAATGCTTATAAATAACAAAATAATAATGATAATGGTCATGGTGGTGATGCTGATTGCCGGGACTGACTAGCAGACCATGAGTGACAGAAGAATGGATTACTCTGACACATGTTTCTGTGAAAGAGAGGGCTAAGGGACTGCCTGGATAAATGAACCAGAGAGCCCAGTTCACCTGCCTCCTTAGGCTTTTATTGTAGCAAGAGCTTGAGCTAAAATTAACCTCTAGATAGTATCATCAGGGTAAAGATTGTTGAGAAAGCACATGCTCCTACAAGGTCATGTCTAAAGACTAAACACCTGGGGGCTTGGACTTATTAGGGAAAGTCAGGGCAGGGGCTGCATTGTTCTGCAAGGTCACCCTAGAGGCCCATGACCTTTAGAAGATTCCTCCTTACAGATTTTCCAACCAAGTCCTGTGCTTCCCCACAGATGATGGTGGTGATGGCCATAGAATTATACAGAGGGTGTGGTCCATTGTTCTGGGGGGTGGGTCCCTCTTCTATCCAAAACCATCAGTTGTTTTGAAAACTTTGTATCAACTTTAAGTTGTGGCCATTGTGGTTTTAATTTCCAATGACATCTAAAGAGAAGATTCCTGCTTTTATTATTTGATAAAAAGTCAATGTGTGTGGACAACCACCATGTCTACAAAATATGATGATAATAAGTAAGCAACTGATGATAATGATGATGATGATGATGATGATGATGATGATGATGATATGATGATGATGATGACGATGATGATGGTGATGATGATGATGACAATGAGGATGATGGACAGAAACAGAGATCCTGGTCTAAAGAAATGAAGGCTCCATATATGGACATACCATCATCATGGCTCCTCCAGTTAAGGCTGTCCCTCTTCCCTGTAAGTGTTGAGGGATTTCATAAATGAAAACCAATGAATTATTCAGCTTGGGTGATACATGGTGTGGCCATGTGAGTAATGACCACAATGTGACCAAGTGCAGATCCATTGCACCTGGGAAGGTCTTACCTTCTAGAACAGAGACACTGTGAGAATGTGCATATAGGAAACAGGAATCCCTTTCCCACCAGTTTGCAGTGACAGGTTTCCTATTTCTCTTAATCCCTGCCTGCATGATCTTTAATGTTTCTACTTCTCACACACTCCTGCTCATAATTATTTGGGTATTTCCTGCAATGATACAAGCTATCTCTATCATGACCTACACTTCCTTCTGGGTCTTCACTTGAGGAACTTTTAAACCCATTATATCCAGTAACTCTGTCCATGAACGTCAGTCATATTTCTGTCATGTAACTCAAATCAAGTCCAGCTTCCTCCCCTCACTCAGTTCCACATTTATGTCATGATTTATGGGTGGTTTCCAAATTGTTTGTAGGTAGCAAAGGAGAGGGGGAAAAAGGCTAAAACACAGATTTTTTTAGAACGAGAAGACCCTTCACACATTTAAGATGATGTACAATAACTGAGGCCGAGAACATGAGACCTGGCTGGTGAGACTCACTGGTTGAACATCATCAACCTATGAACTAGGACAGGGGTGGGAAACCCCTGGCACGCGTGCCAAACATGGCACACCAGTAACTTTTGCTGGCACTCAAACCCTCTCTTATAATCTCTGAAAGTCACGAAATATACACCTGATGTAAAATCTCTGTCATCAGTGATGCAGCAGCAACAGTCCCACTGATAATATCAAACGGAGTCATAAAGTTTTCTATTGGACTATCAGTGTACATCTATACCTTAAAAAATAAATGTAGCCCTAACTGGTTTTGCTCAGTGGGTAGAGCATCAGCCTGCAGACTCAAGGGTCCCAGGTTCGATTCCAGTCAAGGGCATGTACCTTGGTTGCGGGCACGTCCCCATTGGGGGGTGTGCAGGAGGCAGCTGATCGATGTTTCTCTCTCATCGATGTTTCTAGCTCTCTATTCCTCTCTCTTCCTCTCTGTAAAAAATCAATAAAATATTGTAAAAAATTAATGTATTTTTCATCATATACTGTGTTTTTGTCGCTCGAATGAATTTTATTATTTCTTCAAGGTTCTTCACATACATACACTTTAAGAGATATCAAGTAGGCACAACATGTTCTCAAAAAATTAGGGTTGGCACGCAGAAGAATTTTGAGTCAGAGATTTTGCTGGTTTTGGCACGCACTCACAAAAAGGTTGCCCACCCCTGCCCTAGGGAGAAGCTGCGACCACCAGGGGGCGCTCAGGATTCCCAAACACTAGGACCATCCCAGCAGCAGGTGCAGTTGGAGGTTTGGGCTGGTGTCCTGTGTGGTTTCCTCTCTACGTCACAGTTTCCCGCAGGGAACCTATGGATTCCTGATTCTGCGCTTACCTCTGAAGTCTCTGAGCTAGAAAAGCCTGCTGTAAACAACTCCTGTTCTGAATTATCCAGGTGTTTCCTAAGATGCTACAGGCTGTCTCTATCATGCACTGTACTTTCTTCTGAGCCTTCACTGGAGGAGGCTTTAAACCCACATGTCCAGTAACTCTTAGTCCATGAAAATCAGGCATATTTCTGTGACTCAAAAAAAAAAATCCAGCTTCCTCCCCTCAACCAGTTCCGCAGTCACATCCAGATTTATGGGTCGTTTCCCAGCAGCACTCCCCTCTGGTTCCAGAACCTGCTCCAGGCTCTGTGGCTGCTGTAGCCAATCCACATGGACAGTGGAGACTCAGCATTTATCAAGGAGTTCTTGTAAAATCACCCAAAAGATGTCCCAATAAAGAAAATATTGTTAAATTAGCCTCAGTTATAATTAAAGATTTTTACCCTGTCAAAGATTCCATTGAGTGAAATCAGAAACATATGCATAAGGAATATATTTCCAAATCCTTTGTTTCATACTGAATGTATAAAATGCACATTAAAGACACTGTATGTTTGTGGTAGATCCCAGCACCCTTTGACCACAGTGATCTCCCAGGGGAAAGGCAGAGGGAGGCTGGGAGTAAGGTATTCCTCTCAGAGTTGAAGTTTCCTTTCCTGTGAGAAATTCTATGGTAGGAATTCTCTACACTCACCTGCCTCTGAGCCCCAATATCACTGATAACACTAGACTGAGAAAACAGGTCAATGTCCTACCATCATCATTTCAACATATGAATGATTCTAAGTTGCACACATTCATGATCACTGCTTTTTTTTCTTGTCTTTTCTCCACTCAAAGCCATGACTATTTCTGATGTAACTATTTGGGGTTTCAGCCATAGGCCATAGGCTGGCCTAAAGGAAGCATTTGCACAGGAAGCTGTAGACACAGTCACAAAGTTTTCAACATCAAGCATCACAAATATCCCACTTTCGTGTGCTTGGGAATGGTTTCTCTGAATAAAGTAACATCATAAATTAAGATGTAAGATACTGAAAAGTGGCTGTCCTTTATTTCTATATTTTACACAATGGTAGAATTTATATAAAATTAGATTTAAAAATTTGGAAATTGTGGATACACTAGGGTGTTGAATTCATAAACTGTCAGAACAAATGCTAATCCCTTTTACATCTGTTTGAAAGATGCATGAGAAGATAATGGTGTAATCTGCTCATGTAGTCTGTGTTCCTTCTTATGCTCAGAGATTATCGGCTGTGCTTTGACCTTAAACCAGTCAGTCTCATGACCCATGTGGTCTGCTGAGCTCAATTTACATGCTGAGTGAGGTCAAGGGAAGACATGCCCCTAGACAGTCCTCAGAAAGAGCAGGTAAGCCCAACCTCAGTCCCTACACTTATAGGAAAGGCTGCCCCACAAAATTATTTGCTTTACACTCCAGGGTAAATCCTCTCCTGGGCTGTGCAGGCTCACAGCTCTCCCTCACACAGGGTTGAGCTCCCTGGGAAGGCAGAGCTGTGGTTTAGAAGAAGATGAGGCTGCTGGGTCTTCTCCTGTGTCTGGTGACAGCCCCCCAAGGTGAGGGTCTCAAGGGTCAGGCAGGGGTCATGGGATGTCTGTGACTGCAGGGACTGACAGGGACTGATGCTCCTTGTCCCCAGGTGTCCTGTCCCAGGTGCAGCTGCAGGAGTCGGGCCCAGGACTGGTGAAGCCCTCACAGACCCTCTCCCTCACCTGCGCTGTCTCTGGTTACTCCATCACCAGTGGTTCTGACTGGAGCTGGATACGCCAGCCCCAAGGAAAGGAGCTGGAGTGGATGGGGCTCATAAACAATAATGGAGACACTTACTACAGCCCCTCCCTCAAGAGACGAACCTCCATCTCCAGAGACACGTCCAAGAACCAGTTCTCCCTGCAGCTGAGTTCCCTGACCACCGAGGACACAGCGGTGTATTACTGTGCAGGCCCCACAGTGATGAGAAGTCAGTGTGAGCCCAGACACAAACCTCCCTGAGGGAGACAGCAGGGCTGGCTGCAGGGACACTCAGGACACCAGGGGGTGCTCAGGACCCATAGATTAGCATAGGCAGACCAAGCACAGGTGCAGAGAGAGGCTCAGCCTGGATCCTCTTGGAGGCTAGGTTTCCTCTTCATGTGACATTGGCTCCTGGACCTTCTCCAGAGTCGTGATTGGGACACAGACAGCTCAGCAGCAAAGAACTGTCAGTTCTGATGGAGAAGAGAGGCTGCAGGGTAGCCATTGCCCAGCCCCCTGCACACAGAGACAATGGCTCTGGGCCCTTTACAAGGACAGCAGAGTCCTGCCAACAGCAGCTTCAGAGGCTGAGTCTGAGGATGCCCACACACCAGGGCATGAGATGACGCGCAGCTCTGACAGAACCTCAGTCTCAGGAGGCAGGGAGGACTCTCCAGCAGGTGCAATGGCCTCAGGGAGCCGGGAGAGGTACTGGCTTGGGGTGAGCTCTGTCAGGGAGTGAGGACTGGTGGGGTTCCTGTGCTGGGCAGGGGCTGGAGTGGATGGATGCCTCCAGGGGCAGAGGAGAGACCACCAGGCTTCCTCAACCATGAATCTAGATGTGGGCAGAAGTGGAGGAGGGAGGGTGAGGCTTGAAAGCTGCAAGATGTCAGCACCAAGCCTGGGGTCAGACTCCTGTGTCCACCTAAGAATTGCAACGTGACAGAACCTCAGTCTCAGGAGGCAGGGAGGACTCTCCAGCAGGTGCAATGGCCTCAGGGAGCCGGGAGAGGTACTGGCTTGGGGTGAGCTCTGTCAGGGAGTGAGGACTGGTGGGGTTCCGCTGCTGGGCAGGGGCTGGAGTGGATGGATGCCTCCAGGGGCAGAGGAGAGACCACCAGGCTTCCTCAACCATGAATCTAGATGGCAGAAGTGGTGGAGGAGGGAGGGTGAGGCTTGAAAGCTGCAAGATGTCAGCACCAAGCCTGGGGTCAGACTCCTGTGTCCACCTAAGAATTGCAACGATAAGGGAAAGGGAGGGACTCATGCATTCAGAGTGGACAGCAACCAGCGATGATGAGCAAGTCAATAGGCACAAAGCAGGAGTGAGAGTGGGGTCTGGTTCTCACACTGAGTGAAGTTTCCACTGCCTGATCCTCCCCTTGTACAGAAAGTCAGGGGTCAGCTTCTGCTTCCAGAATTGCAGCTTCTAGAGGGTTCTGAGCTTCCCCTGCCCTGGAGCAGTTCTCCAAGGTGTGGATTCTGAATTGCTCCGTGAGCTGTAAGGTGTGAACTCAGGGACCACCTGGATTTCACAACCACTTTTGCTGTTAACACACACGATCAGGTCTCTTCAGGGAGCTTCAAAAGCTGTTCCATCATATCTCTTCCAGTCGATGTATCTCAGTTAAGTGATTTAATACAAGATGCCACTGTTCTTCACTTTGATCCTCCCTCCTTCTGTAGTCTTAGTCCATCCTGATCTTACAGTCTCCTTCCCAGATAGTCAGCCTCCAGGTTCCCGTCCTCCCAGGGTCTCAGGTGGACCCTGGGAAAGCAGGCATCAGAATGACTCTCAGGAGTAGGTCCATGTCCACACGAATGTCAGGGCACCTGCTGGTCCAGAGTCAGTGCTCGTGTCCCTCTGGGAGCAGGTGAGTCCAGTGTCTCAGAGCCTCTCTGTGGAGCCTCTCTGGCCTGGGAGACCTTCCTGAGCTGCTCCCTGTGGGAGGAGCTTCCTACTGGGAGAAGTGAGGAGAGAGGAGGGACAGAGTATGAGCCTGTCTCTGCTGCGTGGCCTGGGCTGTGCTCATGGGAGGCAGGTGCTCCCCAGCCAGGCCTGTTCCCTGGAGCTAGACTGAGACAGGGGCGGCCCCTGCATGGTCACCTGCAGGACCAGGGCACTAACAGTAACACACCCCTGCAGACAAAGGGTGACTCAGCCCCATCTCTGACTCTCCCTGGAGCAAGCCTGACCAATTCCAACCTGCATCTGCGTGCACAGGACTTGCAATATCATGGACACATGAGTGCCTGCTCTTCAAAGTCTGTGCTTGCATTGTGGGTGCACTTGATTGGCTTCCAGAGAAAATCACACCCAGGCCTAGAATCCACATGTGGTTCCTGCCCATGTGCTATTTACAGGGAGGAGGGGCAAATGTGGATTTCATAGCAAAGAAAATAATCACAGTGTGTGTGTGTGTGTGTGTGTGTGTGTGTGTGTGTAATTTATTAAATAGAAGTGCAGTGACATTTGGCCACACACTGGAATGTGCAGATGGGACCTTCAATGAGAGGAACCTGAGGACATAAGATGCCCCTGAACCCCCAGGAGCTTCTGGATGAAGGGAGGGTGGGCTGTGTCTGCATCTGGCAGCTCCAGGGAAGGGCTCCCAGCTGTCCTCAGAAAGCCCTGGTTTGAAGTCTCCCTGCAAAGCAATTGGGGCTCAGTAAGGCCAGTTCATTCTGTTCAGAGACGTCAAAACCACACGGTGTCCCTGAGGGAGCAATCTGATGTCAGGGCACAGTCTTCACTAGACTAGAGATGTTGAAGGTCAGTGCCTTGTGAGCCTAGACAGGACCCTCCCCTGCAGAGCCAGGGCTGGGCTGCAGGGGGTGCTCAGAACCCAGAATGAAGCTCAGGCTGCTTCCCCAGATGGAGCTGGGCAGGGATTTCTTCTAAGGCCTGGGGCTTCCTCTCCTCATACAAACAACCCAAACTGAAACTTGAACACTGTGGTGACTGCTGAGGTGATGTGAATATCCTGCTCTATCAGAGCATTTACCAAACTCAATGGGACATGAGAACCACACACAGGGGGGTGTTTCTATGATTTCAGGATATCTGAATTGTAAGGGGCTGGCACGGGGATGGATTTATTACCTCACTAGGGGCAACATTTTGGAAGAAGACATTCTGGTATCAAAGCCCAGAGCTGATGTATGTGGCCCCATGTCACTCAAGGGTGAGCTCATAATGAGGAGAATGTTCGTGGGGGATAGTTCCTCTTGGGAGAGCCCTGTCTACACTGAGCTCAGGGATCTGAAAGGGGACACACCTACAACCACGATTAGGACTTGGTGAAACCAAGAGCTCATTCTTTGAATAAACAAAATGAACCACTACACAGGCTCATCCAGAAACATAGAGTGGACTCAAATAAATGAAATCAGAAATGAGAGCATAGAAGTAACAACTGACACCACAGAAATTCAAAGGATTATAAAAAAATACTATGAACAAAGAAATGGACAAATTCCTAGAAAAACACAATCTCCCACAACTGAATCAGGAAAAATCAGAAAGCGTGATTAAGCCAAAAACAATAGAGGAAATAGAAGCAGTAATCAAAAAACTCCCAGCAACAAAGGGGGCAAAGCATGCAATGGAGTCAAGACAGTCTCTTCAATATATGGTGCTGGGAAATTTGGTCAAATACATGCAAAAAAATGAATCTAGATCACCAACTTATACCATACACAAAAACAAACTCAAAATGGCTAAAGGACTTAAATTTAAGACCGGAAACCATAAAAATCATAAAAGACTCCATAGGCCGCAAAGTATCAGGCATATGTCGTAGCAATATCTTTACTGACACAGCTTCCAGGGCAATGGAGACTAAGGATAAAATAAACAAATGGGACTACATCAAAATATAAAGCTTCTTCACAGTAAAAGAAACAATCAACAAAACAACAAGGAAGCCCACTCCATGGCAAAACATATTTGCCAAAGCTATTTCAGATAAGGGTTCAATCTCCAAAATTTACAGAGAACTCATATAATTTAACAAAAGGAAGATAAACAATCCAATCAGAAAAAAAGGACCTAACCTAAATAGAGACTTTTCAAAAGAGGACATAAAGAAAGCCGAAAGACATATGAAAACATGCTCAAAGTCACTAATCATCTAAGAGATGCAAATCAAAACAACAATGAGGTACCACCTCACACCTGTCAGAATAGTTGTAATCAACAAATCAACAAAGGACAAGTGCTGGCGAGGATGTGGAGAAAAAGGAACCCTTGTGTACTGCTGGTGGGAATGCAGAATGGTGCAGCCACTGTGGAAACAGTATGAAGTTTCCTCAAAAAATTAAAAATGGAATTCCCATTTGACCCAAAAATCCCACTTCTAGGAATATATCCAAAGAAATCAGAAACACCAATCAGAAAGGATATATGCACCCCTATGTTCATAGCAGCCCAATTTACAATAGCTAAGATTTGGAAACGGCCTAATGCCCATTAGCAGATGAGTGGATTAGAAAACTGTGGTACATCTACACAATGGAACACTATGCTGCTGTAAAAATGAAGGAACTCTTAACATTTGCAACAGCATGGATGGACCTGGATAGCATCATGGTAAGCAAAATAAGCCAGTAGGAGAAAGATAAATATCACATAATCTCACTCATTTGTGGAATATAATGAACAACATAAACTGATGAACAAAAATAGAGCCAGAAGGAAAAAAATAACATTTTAGAATATAATAGAATCCTGTTATTTGCAGATTTTAATATTTCCTACAACTTTTGTGATATCATACTATGTTAGTACAGTTTTTGTAATATTATTATATTTAAAATCCTTTTTTCTTGAAATATTTATGTTTCTTGCATGTATTATTATATTTAAGATCATTTTTCTTAAAATAAAAAAAAAGTTCCAATTTGAAAAAAAAAGGAAAAATAATTATCACTTCCGGTCCCTTTACACTCAGAGTTTCATGTGTTCAGAACTGAAATGCTCAGAAAGAACAAGATGGAGAAGGCCCCTCACCCTTCTGAGATGTAAAGAATTGTTAGTGCTCTACTCCCATTGTCTTCTTATTGAGGGCTCCTCATTAATCAGGTACCAAAGATGCCAGGCAGACAGAAGGCAGGTCCTTCTATTCTGTCTGAGGAGTCCATCTCCTGCTTAACAAGGACAACTGGGCAAGTAGTTATCGAGATAAAATCTTAAGACATAAAGAAAATCATTTGAAGATTTATTAA